AGTGATGCACCAAGCGCCATCAGGTACAGGGGAAGCGCGTGACTCATCAGCGATGCCACCCTCCGTGTATGGTAGGCACCGATGATCCCTGACCCCTTCACGCCCCTCTCCTTCAGAATTTGGATGGCGGTGAGATGGTCCTGGATTTTCTTCTTGTCTTTATACAGGACCCCCCACTTCCTCCATGATTCCGGGGCCTCTTCGATGAGGCATCCGGTGAATGCTGGCAAGGGGGCAGCTGCGTGTTCTTAACGTAGAACCAATGCGAATGCCACCCCTTGTTGGAGGTCGACAGACGCATCGACTGGTATTTGTTGACCCGGTTGTTGCGGAGCTGAATGCCGATGCATCCTATCGGCACGCTCAGCTCTTGCCTCTTCTCTCGCTTCTTTAGGAGGGTGACGGCGAAGAAGTGTCGCCATAGGTTGAAGTGGGGACTAATCCCCAAGAACCCCTCGCATAGGGCGACGAACGCCGCAATGTGCTGGATCTCATTGGTAGTGAGGTGCTGCAGCTCCACGTTGTAGTAATTCAGCAACCCCCGAAGGAACTTGTGGGCAGGGGTGGCGAATCCCCACTCGTGAAAATGAGTGAAGGACACAACGTAGCCATCGGGCGGCGATGGTGCATCCTCATTCTCGGGCAGCCGCCACTCCTCGGTGGCAGTCCACGCGCAAAGAAGGCCACGACGAACAAGGCCCTCTAGGCGCTGGAGGGTGACATCAGATCTGCACCACGGCTCCATCGAACGATTGGGGTGGATGGACGCGAGCTTGACGGTGGCTATGCTACGGGTGCAGAAGGCTCAGACGATTGGCGGCGGAGGTTGTAGATGCGAAGGCAAGGAGGCAATGTACGAAACCCTAGGGGTGAACCCTTTGGTTTTATAGGGGCGACGGATGCGAGGAAGGAAACCGTCCACCTAGATCTCCGCACCTGCCATGATTCACCACCACGTCACCACGTGGGATATGCGCCCCCCATCCCTATCCTTTCCCACCAAAGTCACGCCGGACATTTCGCCTTCCCGGGCAGGCTAAGACTCTTTTTTCGTAGAAGGGATACGGGTCAAAAAGCATTTTCTTCAGCCCGCCTAGGCCCAGGAGTTCAAGGGCTAGCCCAATGGTTTCAACGGCCGTCCCAACAAGGGATGGGCCTGCGAACGGCCAAAACTCAAGCACATGAGCCTCAGGGAGTCTCGATCCACGATCGAGTCTCAACCGGGCTGACCCTGCATGAATCCCCGCGAACGGGATACCAGGGTTCCCTTTAAACTATCCAGTTATCAAAACACCAAAACTCACAGCCATACCCACGAAGGGTCCGAATTACCCCCCGGGCGATTCTACCTGAATCACCCGAGGGCTCGGGGCTACACCCGACGGGTGCGCTCGCGCGCACCCTCTGGCGAATCGAAATACACCCCGGGTGATTCCGAATCACCCGGGGCCTCGGGGGCTACACCCTCTGGCAAGTCAAAACACCCCTGGGCGATTCTATCTAAATCACCCGGGGGCTACTGTCGGGGACCAAATACTGAGGTACCCAAAGAGATGGAGCTAATAACCATCAAACGTTGATGCTTTCGAACAGATAAGAACACAACTACACTTCTTGCTCATACGACCAAAGGTTGGCTGCGCCTCGCCCAGGCCCTGAGGGTTGGCTCCACCTCGCCCGACCCCCGAGGGCTGGACTCCGCCTCGCCCGACGTCTGGGGGCAGACTCCGCCTCGCCCGACTGCTGAGGGCTGGCTTCGCCTCGCCCGACGTCCGAGGGCAGACTTCGCCTCGCCTGACGTCCGAGGGGTAGCTCCGCCTCGCCCGACGTCTAAGGGCTGGCTTTGCCTCCCCCGACGATCGGGGACTGGCTCCACCTCACCCGACCCCCGAGGGTTGGACTCCGCCTCGCCCGACGACCGGGGGCAGGCTCCGCCTCACCCGACGTTCGAGGGCTGGCTCTGCCTCGCCTGACACCTGAGGGTAGGCTCCGCCTCACCCAACGTCCGAGGGCTGGCTCCACCTCGTCCGACGTCTGAGGGCTGGCACTGCCTCACCCGATGTCCCGAGACAGGCTCTGCCTCGCCCAATGTCCCGGGGCTGGCTCCGCCTTGCCCAATGTCTGCACCCTGCTCCTTCATAATGAAGAGCACAGGGTACGACAGGACACTCAAGTCAACCGCCTGCGGGCAAGTACCTTCAGGATATGATGGGACGGGCGCTTTAAGTCCTTCTAGGCATGACAGAGCCCGAACAGTGTTGTAGGCACCGACTTTTGTCTTACAGTGTTGTGGGCGCCGCCATCAGCCCTCGGACGCGGATCCTGACATAAGCATACGACAACCACTATGATCCAGAAGGGAACTCACATCACCTACAGTAACGGACGTATGGTCACTACCCCGTCTGCTCCCTGTAGGGTCACGGCTTGGCACCCTGGCACGCCGCACTGTTCGCCGGAGTAGGATGGGACGTGACCACTTGCTGAACGAAGCCCGAGCATGGCCCTATCAGGATCAGCGAACGTGCTATCCCTGGCACCGTCTGCCATGTCAGCAGGGCAGGCTCAAGGGAAAAGGAAGACCCGGCACCTTCGAAGGATCTTCTTTACCTCTGGTTTTTCCTCTTTCTCCCATTTGTAATCCCTGCTCCCCCTTGGTCTATAAAAGGGAGGGCATGGCACCCCACTAAGGGGACGAATCAATTCAACACACAACGCATCACATAAACACACAGCAGAGCAGCAACCGAGCTCTTGGCATCATTTTGACCTTTCCATCAGAGACTTGGGACATGTCCCTCTCTCGACCGTTTGTACCCCCCTACTATGAACCTTTTTCAGAGCTAATAACACGAGCAGCAGCAAACTGGACGTAGGGACATTCTGCCCAAACCAGTATAAACCTTGTGTCTTTTAGCACACCATCCGGGCCTAACGTGCAACAAATATAAATTTACTAGTTGGTGTTTACTCGAAACACCGACACATCCCACGCCAGCACCCCGTGTCCCGAACGCAGCACCACCGCCCGCATCGCACCACGCCCCCACATCGCGTCCCATCCTGCTTCGGCGCCACTGAACTCCATGTCCATGTCGAGCTCGAACTGTCACAACAAGATCTGAGGGAAGGGAAGGGAAGGGAAGGGAGGGAGAGGAGAGGGCGAGGTGCGCCACACGAGGTAGTAGCCGAAGCCCTGCGGTAGGCTGCTGTTCACCAGCCACCGGCGCCATTGCAACATGTGCAATACCCGATCTACTTTTGAAACATACAGATGTAACATTTGCAACATGCTTTTGAAGACAGCTGAAACACTTGAAACATGTATCTGAAACACTTGAAACACACACCTGAAAACACTTAGAAAGACATTGCAAAACATATGCAACATCCAGACAAAACACTTGCAACATATGTGTGAAACATATGCAATATCCAAATAGACACACTTGTAACATATGTCGAAACAAACAGATGAAACATTTGAAATAGATGCTTGCTACATATGTGTATAGCCATTGCAACATATGCAACATCCCGATCTACTTTTCTAACATCCATATGAAACACTTGCAACATACTTCTGAAACATTTAAAACACTTGAAATAAACGCTTGCAACATGCATTTTTTACCCTTCTTTTTTCGTACGACGCATAGCAAAGCAGGATAACGGCCGGTTCTGGCCAACCGGCGGCCGAGGATGGTGGCACAACCTGGTAGCAGCCAGCTATGTATGCGCCTGGCCTAGGACCAGCCTGCGACGGCCCCCTCTCCTGGTCACCTAGCCACGCACGGTGGTTGGCGCCCTCGCTGGTCAGCCGCGGCCAAAGAAGAGCAATGAAAGAGTGGCTGACTCCTCGACAAAGCAATGAGGAGGCGCAGCAAAGGCACGAAAAGATAGTGGCGCGCGCAACTCGAAGCTCCGCGCTCCCAAACCATGGCGGACGCAAGGGAGAGAAACGAAGAACGAGAGAGATACCGGTCCGTGGCGCACTAGAGGGACCAGGGGCGCGGCCGGAGCAAGGGGCGTGTGACAGGAAGGGGCAAGGAACGAGCGGCGCGGGATGGGGCGCGTGGCGGGGGAAGCACGGCAGCAGCTTGTCTTATATATTTTTTCAGCGAAGCGAATAGGGGCAAAGTGGGGACGCGGTGTGTGGACGGACGCCCCAGGCCGTGGCATGTAGGAGGCCCAAACCGAACCGGGGCATATTTCACTTTCACAGAGCAGCAACTACGGCATCGATCGGCTTAAAGAAAAAAAAAAACTACGGCATCGACTGGCCTGCATTCTTCCGGCTGTGTGCTTGACTGCTGGATGCTGCTGCCTGCTAGTTCTTGTGGCCACTTGCACCTGTTTCGCATTTCGGAGTCATCGTAGTAGTGACTTCCATTATCTGAGTGTGAACCAGGTTTGACTTCTATGAAGCCAGTATGGAGGCAGGTGATGCCAGTACACTTTCACCACCCAGTAGCCAGTATGAACTTTGGGAAATTATGCCAACTTTCAGTTCGCAGAATCACAACAGCACTTCACCAGGTAGCCATTTGCTTACCACAATGGATGGCCATCAAATATGAACTGCCTCTGAAAGTTCGTATATAAGCGCATGATAATGACATGGTTGCAGAAACAAATTAACTGTAAATGAAAAACATGGGCGTACAAACCCACAGGCACCAGCAGTACATTGCCGGCAGTAATCAAACCAGGCAAAGGGCGTTTCGCCCGCACTTACATGCAGGAACAGAGTACCATGTAGAGACTAATAACCGTGCAGCAATAATGACTCATTCTAGTACAACTTGACTAGAAATCATGCCATAAGCAATAAGCATAGCAGAGAACCAATCTTGTGATCCGCACAATTGTACTTCGGCAGTATCAACTAAAATTACGATAAGCCACAATGTGAACAGTTTTCTATGTGAGCTAGCCCCTCTTCAATCTCCAGGAACAAATCTGTATACTAAAACAATGTTCGTGTCTCGATGGTGGTATCACTGGCTTTCAGTTTTACCGGTTTGTTCAGGGCCGTTACCATTTGAGTCATTTGATCCAGAGCTGCCAGCAGCCCCTTGAGATTCATTGTGCTCGTCATTGGTGGATGTGCTAGTTTCAATTTTGGGATCCACCTGCTCACCATTGTTAGACGTTTCTGTAGCTCCATCACCCTTGTTAGATGTCTCTTCTGAAGAACCATTCACTCCACTGGAAGAATCTCCTTGGGAGTTCTCTGCCTCAGTTGAGACACTGCTGTTCTCAGAGTTCTCTTCTTTGGAATATGACGCTTCAGTGGCTGTACCCATTTCTGTGCCCTTCTCATCATCACCAGATGCAGTCTCAGTATTTTCTTCTGCAGAGGTGCTATCAGATGAGTTACCCTTGTCATCACCAGATCCAGTCCCAGATGATGCTGTTGCACTTTCATCTTCCAATCCAGTTTCAATATGGACAGCCTCACCGGTGCCATGCTCAGATGAATCTGAGGTAGTGGAAGTTGCATCACCTTGGTTTTCACTGGCATCATTTTGTGAATTATCAGTATGAACTGATGGTATATTCCCTGTTTCGTTAGGAAGACTGCCAGTAGCATGGTCATCGGTTGCTTCGGCCTTGGCATCGTCAGGAAGGGATCCATTCCCACTTCCACTTGTACTGGTTGATTCATCACCTTGCACCACTTCATCATGAGACGTTCCACTTACCACCCCAGTGTTTTCCTCTTGTGCATGATTGTTTTGGGACATATCATCTCCAGTTGAATTGACTTCACTTTTACTCTCAGCAGCAGAGTTGGATTCAGTATCATGCTTGCCTTCTTCTGCATGACCGGTGGTTTCATCTTCATTGTTATTATTATTAGCTTCTGTATTACCATCTGCACTGTTGACTTGTCCTTCTTCCGCTTCTGACCTCTCAGTGTTTCTCTTGTCATCTTCATGCAAGTTAGTACTGTATTTATCGAACACAGTTTCTCCAGTATTCTCATTACGATCAAAAGTATCTGAATGATGATCTACAGCACCTTCCTCTGGTTTAGTTGTTACATCAGAATTGTCGCCAACCATGTAACTACCTGCCTTTTCTTTCCTCCCCTGGAACATGCTTCTATCACTATGGGCAAGCTGGTCCTCAGCATCATCCAAGTACTCATTTTTCTTATCAAAGGAATGCTTCACCTGATACAGGAGCCAAAAAATAACACCTAAAAGTAAGGTAGCTTGGAGTAATGTTTTGATTCTTGATCCCCTGTTCCTTTGGTTCCGGCTATTTGAATGATGAAGCATGTTTACACCTGGTTAAACAATGCATAATGAACGTGATATCACCAGTTAGTAAGTCAGCACAAGACACAAAATAAAACAAGATAACTTGAGTAGATGTTCGTGAACATAGCACAACAAAAAACAGTAGGTACAGTAATTGTATTCCGTAAAGTCTGCCAATGTTACTTTCATGCTTTACTGATAGAGAAGGAACAAAGTACACACAAATATTAAAGCTACTTTTTGGGCTGGGTAGTTTCTGAGTGGAACTCCAGTGAAAGATGGATGTTAGAACTTAGGATCTACTCCCTCCATTCCAAATTATAAGACATTTTGGCTTTTACATACATATCTTTTGTTATGCACTTAGATATACACTATATCTAAATACATAGTAAAAACAATATATGTAGAAAAGCCAAAACGTCTTATAATTTGGAACGGAGGGGGTAAGATCTAAGAGAACAGATATGGGTTCAGAAGGAAAGACTGTCTTCCTGGTGAAAGGATGTCCAACTATACATAAAAGCAAAAGATTCACATAGTTTATGCAATATTGTTTGCAAAACGAGAGAAATATTGGAACATAAGATAGAGAGGGAGTGAAAAGATGTACATAAAAGGAAGCACTTAGAAGGCCATAAGCCCATACTATAACAGAAAACAGTATCGAATATCAATTTATGTGCTGCACGCATGGAGGAGTATTGAATGCAGCTCTGCTTTCCCCTTTCCTCAAGCAACAAGCACAAAGCACAATAAAGCATACATACATGGTAGCAATTTACTATGCTCTCAGCTCCTGGGGACACATCTAGTTGCAATTTCATGGGAAGCAGTTTCCAGATCAGCATATGTTTAGCCGAATTCAGAAACAAGCTAGTTAACAGAATGTAAAGTGAGTTATTGAGGTTCAAAATGTAGACATCCAAAACATTCATGTCAAACTACAACTAAGGGTTAACACCAGCTAGTAGTATATAATATGCGGAGTTTCCAAAGGGGTCAAACTGTCAGCCGGTAGATTGCGAAAATAGGCAGCAAGTTGGACGGGATTTAAGCAAGAATGGTTGAAGAAATGTCACTTTCCTCTTCCGTTTATGGCTGGATTTGCAATGCAACCTGGAACATGTCAGGTCACACCCACCCGAAGCCCCCCATAAAAGGAACCTGGACTCACTGTCCCACTTGCCGATCCAATTGTGTGGAACAAGCAAATTCAGCATAGGAACATCCCCAAACCCTTGTCCATCTGAATGCACGTACACCCAGGCAGGCCGCAGGCACATGGTGGCAACTGCTGTCCACGAAGGACCCCCCTGAGATTGGAGAAAGGGCGAAGCAGAGTAGCAGACAGGGGAGGCAGATGAAACGCGGCGCGGAATCAACTAGGCTAGACGAGCGGCGGCAGCGGGACACATTTGCTCGCTCGGCAGCGAGCGCGCAGCGCAGGTAATCGCGCATGGAAGCTACTACACAGTCCACACAATCGTCCGCCACACACTCGGTGGAGGCCCGATTCATCAGACCTACGAAACCAAGCGCCTCGCGAGTAGTACGACGTTGGAGGGAGCGCAGGACGGACCTGGTTGGTTCCGGCGGACGGGCAGTTGAAGGCGAGCCGCGCCAATGGCGCCGACGGCGAGGCCGGCGGAGGACGCGATGCGATGCGGTGCGGCGGGAGAGCGCGGGGTGACTGCCGCGTGACCGGGGAGGACCCTGCGTTGATGGATGATGATGGGTGGGGTTAGTGGGTGGCGACGTGGTGGGTATTGGGTTACATCTGGGACGTGAGCGTTTGCTTTTCTTTATTTTCTCCGGCGGCGTGCATTGGCATTTGGCGCTGGCCAGGATTGGATCTGGGCATCGCGCTCGTGATTTGTTCACGGCCTCGGCCGGGCCGCTGCCTGCCTGCGGCGTGGTTGCGGTCGCGCCTTGGATTCTTCGCTCGTGGCCTCCCCCTCGTGCTCCTGCCCGCCCGCGGCCCGCGTACGCGACACCTGCCCCCTGGTGCGTCGTACGGTGGATTCCATCGGTCTTTGATTATCGGAGATCCAGCTGCACGCCAACGCTTTGACAAGGACGGTACTGCGTGCGGCGTAATTATGTGGGCGCCGGCGCCGGCGTCAGCTTCATCACAACGCCGCTGAGATCGTGATATGTTTGCCTACAACACCATAGAAGTGTTAGGTACTTAGGTAAATTTAGGTATATTGATCCAAAAATTAATAAAAATCTGTGGCAAACATGTGATCCAACAACAAAGTGTTAGATATCTCCGTTGATGAAGAGTTTAAGTGCAAGCAACGGGTGTATACACTCTGGACTGTGGCTTGCAGCCACTCTCGAAGAGGCGGCTGGTCTGGCCGGCGAGGGTTTATGGTTGTCCTAACTCAGAGAGAAACTGGATCAAGGGTGTGCAACTAACTATATAGTGGTTCTTGACGAAGCCAGAAAAAAATTTAGGAGGGGCTGAACAAAAAGAATAGAGGTTTTTTTATCTTCTCTTAACCTTAGCTCCTCCTACCTAATACATATATGCATACAATTTTAAGGGAAGGCTTAGGGGGGCTCCACGTGCCCAGGATCGGTAGGGGGGCTAGAGCCCCCAGCCCCACCGCTGGTTCTTGTATTAGAATTCTACGTTGTTCCATTATGGTTTGGGTCAAGTATGTGAGAACGAGATGACGGAGATAGTGGAAAACCTCAATTCATTTCATTCACCAATACAAGTATATATAGGTTACACATGACTCATCGTTTCATCTATGACTGATCGGTTCCTCTTCTAGGTGTTTCACATTCTAATACCCTCCCGCAGTGTCAACCGGGAGAGGATCGAGCGTTGAGATTGGAGCGGAAGTTGACGAAGACAGCCGTGGGCAGACCTTTAGTGAATATATCGGCATAGTGAAGAGAGGTAGGAACATGAAGAACCCGGACAGCACCTAGAGCCACGCGCTCCCGAACAAAATGTAGATCAATGTCCACACGTTTGGTCCTTTGGTGATGAACTTGATTAGTTGATAGATACACGGCACTTATGTTGTAGCAATAAACAAGAGTGGCGCGTGTCAAGGGACGACGAAGTTCTCCCAATAATTGGCGGAGCCAACATGCCTCGGCCACAGCATTGGCAACACCTCTATATTTAGCTCTGGCACTGGATCAAGATATGGTGTGTTGGCGCTTGGAGGACCAGGATATTAGATTATCACCAAGAAAAACACAATATCCAGGAGTAGAGCGACGAGTGTCCGGGCAGCCGGCCCAATCAGCATCAGAGTAGACAACCAAATCATGTGATCGGCTGCTGGACAAGGAGAGACCAAATTGTATGGTGCCTTTGACATATCGTAGAATCCATTTGATGAGAGCAAAGTGAGACTCACGAGGATCATGCATATGTAAGCAGGCTTGCTGAACGGCATGTGCAATATCAGGGCGAGTAAGAGTTAAGTATTGTAGGGCACCTGTGAGACTGCGATATAGAGTAGGATCTGCAACTGGTGGTCCTTCATGAGCGGACAACTTGGATTGCACCTCAATTGGAGTGGAGCACGGATTGCAATTGGACATATTTGACTTCTCCAAAATTTCAGTGGCATACTTGGCTTGTGAAAGAAAAAGACCTACTGATGATGATCGGTGAGCAGAAACCCCCAAGAAGTAATGTAGATGCCCAAGATCAGTCATAGCAAACTCTTGTTGCAGTGAGCAAATAATGTGCTGAAGAAGAGATTGCGATGATGCAGTGAGTATGATGTCATCCACATATAGAAGAAGGTAGGCCACATCTGTTCCATGAGTGAATATGAACAGCGAGGTGTCACACCGAGAAGCCCAGAATCCAGTTGAGGTGATGAATGCTTGGAAACGACTATACAATCCCGTGGAGCTTGCTTAAGGCCATATAAGGCTTTGTTGAGCTTGCATACATAATCAGGGCGAGACAGGTCAACAAAGCCAGGGGGTTGTTGACAATAAACAATTTCACTGAGGGTGCCATGGAGGAATGCATTTTTGACATCCAATTGATGAATGGGCCAATCATTGGAGATGGCAAGAGATAACACCGTGCGTATCATCACGGGCTTCACAACGGGACTGAATGTTTCATCATAGTCAAGGCCTTGTTGTTGAGAAAAACCACGCACAACCCAACGAGCTTTATATCGAGCAAGAGTTTCATCAGCATGGAGCTTATGACGATAAAGCCATTTCCCTGAAACAATGTTAGCATTTGATGGTGGTGGCACAAGATCCCAGGTTTGGTTTGCAAGAAGAGCTCCATATTCTTCCTCCATAGCACATTTCCAATTGGGATCAGAAAGAGCACCTTGATATGTTTTTGGAAGCTTGCTGATGTCTCCTGGAACAGCGGACAAGTTGAAGATTTGTCGGGGCTGACTGATTCCTGATTTTCCCCGAGTTTGCATAGCATGCTGATTAACAGTGGGTGGAACAACGACAATTGCGCTTTGGAGGAGCGTTGAGCAGCAGGGATGACAACTGATGCAGCAGTCGGTGCACTCGAGATGGAGGACATAGTAGCCACGCCACCAGTGCCTGATATCGGAGGCCCAGCAGGAGACCCATGCGGTGGTGCCGGATCGGTAATAGTAGGACTGCCAGGACCGACAGTCATAGTCGAGCCACCAACAGGGGGTCCGAGCAGACGTGCTAGATCGGTAACAGGAATCCCCGATGTGGTGGGGGCGTTTGACGTAGAGGTGGCCGCTGGCACAATCGACGCGGGGGGTGCCGTAGGCACGCTCGACGTGGAGGTCGCCACCTAGTGAGCGGGGCTGCTGGCACTGGGTGCCGCAGCGGACGTAGCCCCATCATGGCCACCAGGTGCCATAGCGGACACAACCCCATCATGTCCACCGGGCGCCGCAGCGGACATAGCCCCATCATGGCCGGATGTCGCCATGGGCGCTACAGCGGACGCAGTCCCGTCATGACCACCGGGCGCCGCAGCGGATGCAGCCCTGTCATGGCCGGATGTCGCCACGGGAATGACGCCAGACACCACCTGATCATTTGTGTCATCTAGAAAATCATATGCACTCAAAGGTGCCGGTGAGTGGCGAGCAAAGGGGAACTATTGTTCATCAAAGGTGACATGATGGGAGGTGAAGACACTGTTTGTGGCGATGTCTAAACAACGATATCCCTTATGATTGTTAGGGTAGCCAGAAGAATACATTTGGTTGATCTCGGTGCGAGTTTGTGTGTCATGGTGGCAGAAAGATTTGGATAGCAATGGCATCTGAACACGCGGAGGTGATCATATGTGGGTGGTGTACCAAGAAGGGCTTGGTGAGGAGTGCGGTTTTGAAGTGTTTTGGTGGGGTGGAGGTTGAAGAGGTGAGTGGCGGTGCGAAGAGATTCGACCCAATAGGCAAGGGGCATCGATGCTTGAAATAATAAGGTGCTCATAATGTTATTGATGGATATGATGACACGTTCAGCTTTGCCATTCTGTTGGGATGTGTGAGGACAAGAAAGACGAAGATGAATACCTTGCGCAAGGAAAAACAAGCGGGCTGCATTGTTGTCAAATTCACGACCATTATCACATTGAATAAACTACACACGACAGTTGAAGTGAGTAAGAACATAGCTATGAAAATTGCGCAAGGTATTGAACGTGTTGGATTTAAGAGCGAGAGGGAAAGTCCACAAATAGTGAGTAAAATCATCCAAACACACGAGATAGTATTTAGATCTAGAGATGCTCATAACAGGAGATGTCCACAAATCACAGCGAATCAACTCAAAAGGTATAGTGGCATGGGACAGGGAGTTGGAGAACGGTAAACGACTGTGACAGCCTAATTGACAAGCATGACAAAGCGAGGTGTCATGAGAATTAGGTGTAACAGAAATGGATTTATTGGTATGCAATCGGGAGAGAACTTGAACACCGGGATGCCCCAAACGTCGGTGCCATGTAGTCTCTAGGGCAGCAAGGAGGGCGTGAGGAGTAGGGGTGGACGCCGAGAGGAACGGGTAAAGGTCTCCCGAGCTATCACATCGATGGAGCACCGCCTTGGTTTGGAGGTCCTTCACAGATAAACCAAAAGGGTCAAATTCAACCAAGCAAGAGTTATCTCTGGTGAATTGACGAACAGAAATAAGATTAGTTATAAGCTCTGGAGACACAAGAACATTAGGAAGATGTAAAGACCAGGTAGGTGTAGGGAAGGAGGTTTGACCAGAACAAAAAATAGGTAGGGTTGAGCCATTGCAAACAATGATGTTGGAAGGGGAATTAGAAGTAGTGGTGATGGAAGAGAGGTTACCGAAGGACGAAGAGAGGTGCGAAGATGCACCAGAGTCCATATATCAGTTCGCCTAGGGCTGTTGCAACATCATGGTGCTGAGGGCGCTTGCCAGAGCGGCCTGATTCCAGGACGCTGTGGGATCAGCAGCGGGGGCGCTGCTGCCGTAGCCAAAGATGGGGGCGCTACTGCCGTAGTTGAAGCCAGGGGCATCGCTGCCGTAGGCGAGGCTGGGGGTGGCGCTGTTGTAGCTATAGCCGAGGCCGCCGCTGCCGTAGCCGGGCTGAGAAGCCACCATGAAATTGTCCTACGTAGTGCCCGTAGTGCTTGGGAATGGTGGCTGGCCCGGACGAGCTCCCAGAATGCCTGGGTTGGACTGAAGCCATATCTAGAAGGAGTCGCTCCATGGATGATGCCACGGTCTTGGACCACACCAAGAGTTGTTCTAGTTGGCGCCCTTGCCGTAGCCCTTCCCGCGACCCCAAGGGCGAGAGGACGGGCGAGAGGCTGAGGGAGCCATGGACGTCACTGCGATGGGTGCATGCATGTAGGTGGCTGTGGGGGCGCTCTTGGGCATGACGATGGCCGTCGCTGAAGTAGCCACTTGTAACTCAGACTCCTCCAATGCGAGGAGAGACTGAGCCTAAAGGAATGAGGGCAGCGGATCCTTCGTCTTCAAGATGGCAGCCATGTTGCGGAGAGGCTCGTTGACACAGCGGAGGAGGGTGAGTAGTAGGGTGTTGTCGCCGATGGGTTGCTCCAAGTCGGCGAGACCATCGACAAGGTCCTTGAGATGCTGGGCATACTCGAGCACAGGTGAAAGTTCTAGTTTGGTTTTGGTGAATTGATGAAACCCTAAGTGCTAACCTAGTTTATCAAGTGATCATGAGATAGGTAGCACATTCCAAGTGGTGAAGCAAATGAAGATCATGACAAGATGATGGTGTTGCCATGGTGATGATAAATTGCTTGGACTTGGAAAAGGATAAAGTAAAACAAAAGGCTCAAGGCAAAGGTATAAATAGTAGGAGCCTTTTTGTTTCGATGATTAAGACACATAACGAGTGTAATCGCATTTAGGTTTGATAGCCGTACTATTAAGAGGGGTGAAACTCGTATCAAAATGCGGTTATCAAATTGCCACTAGATGCTCTAACTCATTGCATATGCATTTAGGATCTAGTGGAGTGCTAACACCATTGAAAATGTTTGTGAAAATATGCTAACACATGTGCACAAGATGATACACTTGGTGGTTGGCATATTTGAGCAAGGGTGAAGAAGATAGAGTTGAAAAGAAGTTAGTCGCGCTGGTCACAGAGTGACCGGACCCGTCCGGTGTGAATCAGCAAAGTCGATGTTCAGTATAACAGTTGATCGGACGCTGGGAGCGTCCGATCGGCCTAGAGCGGCTCTGGGAGCTCTCTAGACTCGACCGGACGCTGCATCTCCTGTATCCGGTATGGAGTGACCGGATGCGTCCGGTCGGCCTGGGAACTCTCTGGACTCGACCGGACGCTGTGGCTCAGCGTCTGGTCGTTTCTAACTCAGCGTTCGATCGATTATAACAGAGCATCCGGTAGCAGATTGAATATGGCAGCAACGGCTACTTCATTTTGAATTGGACACGTGGCGGTCTGGTAGCGACCGGACACGTCCGGTCGCCATACCGGACGCGTCCGGTATACACGACTGGTGCGTCCGGTGCATACGACCTGCACGTCCGGTCAACGCGCAGTCAGCCCAATAATTGAGCCAACGGCTCTATTATTTGGGGGTGTCTATAAATACCATTTGGCCGGCTCTAGCTCACTTTCTTGACCATTTGCATTGACATATAAACCTTGTGAGCTTAGCCAAAGCCCTCCCACTCATCTCTATCATTGATTCATCATCTTTGTGAGATTAGGAGAGAATCCAAGTGCATTGCTTGAGTGTTTGCATCTAGAGGCACTTGGTGTTCGTGTTTCGCTGCGGGATTCGCTTGTTACTTTTGGTGGTTGCCGCCACTTAGATGGCTTGGAGCAGCGAGGATCGTCGAGCAGAGGTTGGTGATTATCTCCGGCTCCGATCATGGTGATTGTGAGGGGTTTTTTACCTTTCCCCAGCGGAGAGCCAAAAGGTACTCTAGTAATTTGCTCGTGGCTTGTGTGATCCTCATCTTGTGTTGGTTGTGCGGCACCCTATTGAGGGTTTGGCAGGTGATGCCAATCAGCTCGTGAACCTCCAAGTGAGTGAATTGCCACAACGAGGACTTGTTTGCCGGCAAGCAAGTGAACCTCGATAAAAAATCATTGTGTCATTATTTGATTCCGAGGTGATTGGTCTTCATTGGTATTCATTCTTGTGATTGATTGGTTCATTCCTCGACTCGGCGGTATAATCATCTTGCTCACTTTCTCTTTACATTACCGTAAACTAGTTGTCAAGCTTTTTTGTATAGCTAGTCGTGAGAGCTTGTAGTTTGGTTAGTGTGGCTCTTTAGTTAGCCTTTGAGAGCACACTAACTTAGTGTAGGGACATAGCCATTGTGTGGATAGAGACTATATAAACTAGAATTATGGTAGGTGGCTTGCATTTTTAGTAGGCTAGCACAACACTCGCTTTGCCTCATATTTGTCTAACCAGTTTGCTAAGTGTTGTTGTAGAAATTTTTAATAGGCTATTCACCCCCCTCTAGCCATTAGGACCTTTCAACAGGCCGGTCGCCCTGTGCCAGAGCATGAAACTTTGCCTCAAGGGTCATAGCCTGAGAAGCCTTGTTGTCGAGGAAGAGATTCACCGCCTTGGTCCAGACTGTATGAGCAGAAGCATCGGTCTCCATGATCAAACGCATCACGCGAGGCGACGATGAAGAGTAGATGACCGAGCGGATGGAGCAGTCGACCGCAAGTTCAGCAGCGTCGGGCGCTGCTGGCGCCAGCATGCCGTCGATGTGAGATGAAGCACCGAACTTGCCGACATGGGTGAGGAACAACTCCCGCCATGTGGAGTAGTTTGGGGGATCAAGCTCGAGGGCGAAAAGGATGTGGGTCTTGACATTGATGGTGGCGAGCGCCACGACCATGCTTGGGGCAACAGGAGGAGGAAGGGTAGCCCTGATTGCAGCGGCCATGGTGGCAATGGCATCCTGGGCGTCATCATCCATGGTGGAGTGACGAAGGTAGAGGAAGGGTCAGGGAGAGGTAGATCGGGTTTAGGTTGATACCATGTGAGAACGAGATGATGGAGATAGTGGAAAACCTCAATTTATTTCATTCATCAATACAAGTATATATAGGTTACACATGACTCATCATTTCATCTATGACTGATTGGTTCCTCTTCTAGGTGTTTCATATTCTAATAAAGTATTCAAGTGGGCTGTGTAGCCCACTGAATAAGCTTCCCACAGAATCCAAGATTATCATTTTTGGACTTCAAGGCTAAGAGCTATGGTAAGAGCCCCAATTAGCACACCAATTTTTTTTTAAAAAAACATGCATCAAAATTCTCTGATGAACACTTGACAAGTTGCACCGAAGAGTGACTCAAGAGAGCATGTTTTGGGCTATCAAGCACTAGATTTCTCGGCCGTCCACCGGAGAAAGCACAGGAGTTTCAGAAAAGTGTTGAAAATAGTCGTTGGAGGTTGGCTGGTATGAGTAGCCATAGGCCCAGTCCGATTGTCTTGTAGTGTAGCAACGTGATATAAGAGCTTATAATGGCTAGTTTTTGGTTGTCCTTTATATATATTGGGATGAGTGGCTATAGGGCAAGTTTGGCCACTTTGACATGTCGTATACTTGGTGAGAGCCTCATTTTAATCACCGCTCTCATACATTTACAAAGGAAGTACAAAATTGGAGAGTGGGTGAGCTTTTTCTAGTGCGGTGCATCGAGAGATCAATGGAGTGGTACTAGGTGATTGCTTTGCAAGCGGGTTTTCTAGCTACTCTTGCAGATTATTGCCTCCTAGAAAGCTGAAGGTTCTGACGCAGTGGAAGCACTGCGAGGAGATTGTGCGGTCGCTCTAGAGATTGTTTTGTGATGGCCTCTTGTGCTCATTCCCACCGGAGGAAGGCAAAGAGCAGCTTTAATGGATACATGGTGTGGAGTGGTTCTTTGGTTCTAATAGCTTAGAGATTAAGCACATGGGTATAGTGAGGCAATCTTGCAAGAATGTAAACCTTGACACAGGACGATGAAGATTAAACCCACCTCAACATGGATTAGGGTGACTGGTGGCAAGTCACCAAGACCAAGAGAAAGAACTCAGTGTCTCCAATTGTGGTTTGATCACTTGAGCTCTTTACGTTCAAGTTATTTACATTGTTAGAAATATAATTTCTTGCTTGTCACCCCAGGATTGCAAAACTCAACCTAGACTCAGGGAGCTTGTGGACTCAATACCTAGGGGTGTAGTCATGTTTTGGTTGCTAGTTTTAATTCCACACATTTATCGTCTTGGTCTTCTTACTAAAGGTTTTAAAACTGACTATTCACCCCTCCTCTGATTAGCCTTCTTGATCCTAATAGCTATTGACATGCACGTCGCCTACCACTGAAAAAACAACGTCGTTAAATCTTGACATAAATCTGTTAAAATGTGAACACCAACATTAAGTCGAGAAGTTAAATACGGATGGGCAAGAAGGAGCCCAACTAGCTGAGCTATGCATAATTCGTAAAAAAAAAATCTTTTGTTTGCTAGTTTAAATATTTAAAATTGCATGCATAGATTTTAAAATCTCCCCTAGGTCACAACTTATTTTACTATTGTGGCAATAAAATCAACCTTGCCTTCCTAATTTTGAAACGAAATCGCATGGCACCCAACGTACTGAGTGTGGGTACAAATTAAATCTCCCCTAGGTCACAATTTATTTTACTATTGTGGGCTTGTGGCAATAAAATCAAGGGATATGCTAATTTACAAGTGCATGAAAAAGTAGCCATCCCTTAGGCGACATTGTACAGCTGTTGGATTCCACCAGAGAGTTTGATCGTGCAGGAAAAACAAAACACGATCAACGGCTGCTACGTCGCCTGAACGGATTAAAGGAAACCAGGCACCTGATCAGATAGGAAAAGTGTAAAATCAACCTTGCCTTCGTAATTTTGAAACGAATTCGCTACATGTGAATATGGCACCCACGTACTGAGTGTTGGTACAAATTAAATCTCCCCTAGGTCACAATTTATTTTACTATTGTGGCAATAAAATCAACCTTGCCTTCGTAACTTTGAAATGAATTCGCTACACATGAATATGGCACCCATGTAGTCGAGTGTGGGTACAAATTATACCTGTAGGTGTACGTAGTTGTATGTACGGGTATACCATTTTAGCCACGGGTATGATTGCAGGTATTTCACTTCATTCATTAGTGTTTAAACTAAATTATCTATTTTAGTGATAATCTAACTTGCAGATATGAGTACTTTACAGCTATAGGTATTATACTTGATGATGGGTACATGTGAATGCTGATGTAAATTATTACCTACAATAGAAATATAGATATAAAAATTTACCGGTGAGACAATGTGTTGCGGATATACTCCATCCCAAAAATCCCACCATACCCTACAGCCAGCGACAATGCAACGTCACCTTTTTCTCGAGAGGTTTTTTTTGCCTTTTTTTTAGAGGTGCAACGTCACCTTTTTTTTTTGAAAGGAAAACAAAATACCATTAAACACTAGGTCCAGTTAAGTCACTGGACACCATCAAAGATACAAAGTCTGGCATTTGGTCTTGCCAAAGCGGAGGACCATCATCATTACAATTAAGGCCCATAGCCGCCAGAGTATCAGGGCTGGTATTAAAGCCAGCTGATAAACCGGCTGAAACTGTTTAGTTGTGAGAGAAAAATACTGTAAATTGTAGCTGATAAGCCGGCTGATAAGTTCAAGCGAACAGGCCATAGACTCTGGAAACATGAAAGACCGAACATTCAGAAAAGTTATTGTACATTAAGCTTCTAATCTCTCCTATTAGAGGGCCTAGAACTGATCTGTCATAAGTTGAATCAGATAGCATTTTTGCTACAAGAGCAGCATCAGTTTCCACTATGACCCTTCCCATCCCTAGCGTAGATGCAAACTCGATCCAGGCCTTTCATGCAGGCGATGGCTTCAGCATGTTGGGCGGACATTAGGAAATCCGCTGATCCGCTACCTGCAGCTACAGCATTGCCTAAATGGTTTCTTATGACAAAACCCCACCCCGATTTGCGTGAGCACGGACTGTAAGCTGCATCGCAATTAATCTTGTAAACATCTTCAGGAGGTGGTCGCCATTTTGGTTTGCAGACTGGAATTGCAATTCTTTTTTCAGAACTGACTGCATCCCTCCAAGCCTGCAAGTGAAAAAATACATCACTGATTATTTGTTGAGCTGTTTTTGCCTTCTCCCCTGCATTGATTTTATTGCGTGCTGACCACCAACACCACATAAAAAATGATAATCATGCTTTGACAGTCGGCATCAAAAATCCAAATATGTTCCAAGACTGCCCTAGCAGAAGTTTGCGCCATCAGCTCAATCCTTTGTTCTTCCATATTTAGGAGCCTCACCTTTGATCAAGCTGCAATTTTGTTCGAGCAGCGTCTGATCAACCTAGGATGAATGGGCCGGACTGTACGGATAGTGTACTCGTGCAGTACGAAGTTAGGTTATGCTTCCATGTTGGGCCGTGAAACCCATTTAGCTTGATGGGCTACTGAACTATTGTGCTGCAATTGTGGCCTACAAAAAATTACTCCCTAAAATCAATATTTTTTGGCAGATCCCCTAAAGTCAATATAGATGACGTTTAGGACAAACCTAATTATTGAGCTGTTTTATCACTTCTCAATGAAACATAGTGTATTAGTGTGTCACATTAGCAAACATCAGTTTACTAAAAAAAGCTTAAGACAAGAATTAATTGAAAATTTTAGGAACATTAAAAATGAGAATAATTACTCTGGCACTATAATTTTTTTTTAGTAAAATGCACCCAAGGCCCTCAAACTTTTCGAGCATTCCTATCTGGGTCCTCAAACTAAAAAAAAAGACCATTTATGTCCCTAATCTACTGCAGTCGCACACTAAGGGTTCAAAACACGCCACACCAACCTAGCATCTGACGTGGCATGCCACATAGGCACCTGCTGGATGTCGGACCCATTCGCTTCGCTGAAAAAACAAGCTGAAACACTGTTCCGGCTGATTTGTTGTGAGAGAAAAATATTATTCTGGCTAAAAAAAAACTAAAAAGTACGGATTATAAGATAAACGAACAGGTGTTGTGGCCACGCCACAGTGGCAGGTGCTGGGCATGCAGCATGCTGCCGGGTTCGGGCATGGAACAGGGAGGTCGCCGATGGCTACTCCGGCCGTGGCATGCTGTACGCGTAGTGCTCCAGCACGGCGGGCCTTGGGTGCGCGGGTGGGTCACGGAGGAGGTAGTGCACGGCGCCCGGGAGCAGCGGCAGCTCGGCTCCACCAGGCGGGAGGCGACGACATCATGTTGAGCCACGCCGTGTGCGTGAATCGAATGGTGAGACGCTCTCCGCACTGGAGGAGCCTGGTGGGGTGCACACGAACAGGGATGGTCTGAGAGGAAGGGGAATCAGTATGGAGGGCGACGATGGCGCTGGACGCTTGACGCGGCGGGAAAGCAGAGTAGCGGCCGCGAGCTCGCCGGGAAGGGCTTTGCCGGTGGCGTGAAGAACAGAGACTTCGAGGAGGGCTCGTACATCATCCCGGGGACCAAGTGGGCGTGCTGATCCCGTCGCGCGTGGTGGACGAGCACTCGCCACTGCCGGGTTGGATGGTGGAGTCGCTCAAGGCCATCAAGTACATCAACGATGACAGCTTCGTGGTGCCGCGGGGACGGCGCGCCGTGGAGCTGCTTGGTGCACGGAGCCGGAGGAGGACGCGCGACGCCGCGATTGGAGATGTACCCGTTGCCGGTCGTGGAGCAGAAGATGCAAGGCGAAGCCGTCGTACATGCGTGTGGAGGACCGGAGGTAGGCGCATGGATGTTGTACGCGCGCATGGTGCATGCATGGTGCTCCATGGCGGCGCGTTCGTCGTTGCTGGTGACGAGAGCACTCACGCAGCACGGCTACGGCGAGAGCCACAACGAGGCGTGTCCGCGTGCACGGTAGCGTGCC